CAAGAGTCACAGCCAGCACATTCCTTGGCTTGGCTGCCTCCACACTGCTTTCTGCCCCTTCCAGCACCCAGACGTGGGGTGTTATATGGGGGAAAGCACCCATTCAATCTGGCCATGGCCTCCAGCTCTGAGCCCCAGAAAACCCCTGTCCAGGAAGTGCCAATCTTTCTCCGGGTCTGACTTGAAATCGCCTGGCACTGCTCTGAAGAGACCTGCCCGCGGTTCCTGTGAGTCAGGACTCCTTAACCTGTTTTGTGCCATGGGACCCTGAGTGGTCTGGTACGGCCCGTGGACCCTTCTTGGAGGAATGTTTTAAATGTGCAAAATAAAAGTAAACCAATTATATTGAAATGTAGTTGTTAAAATATTAAAAATATAAGTTTGCAAAAGAGTAACTTATGTATATTTTTATAATGTTTTAGAAAGTAAGGGCTGCTGGAAGTGCAGTCCAGGGACTGATATACTTCTAGTAGTGATGAGCATCAGGGATATGTCCAGATATCTACAACAATGGTGTATGGTGACATGGAAATATCACAGAGGGACTGTGCTTTGTTGCTTTCATTTTTTTAAAAGAATTTTTTACTTTTAGGGAATCTTGTCAACCCAATATGAGGCTCACACTCACAATCCTGAGATTAAGAGTTGCACGCTCTACTGACTAAACCGGCCAGGAACCCCTGTTGCCTGCATTCATTCATTCTACTCCTCCTCCTCCTCCTCCTCCTCCTCCTCCTCCTCCTCCTCCTTCGTCATCGTTGTCGTCGTCTTCTTCTTTTTCTTCTTCTTCTCCTCCTCCTCCTCCTTCTTTATGTTTATTTTTTTTAATTTTTTTAATGTTTTATTTATTTCTAGGAGAGAGAGAGAGAGAGAGAGAGAGACAGCATGAGCAGGGGAGGGTCAGAGAGAGAGGGAGTCACAGACTCCGAAACAGGCTCCAGGCTCTGAGCTGGCAGTCAGCACAGAGCCCGACGCGGGGCTCGAACCCATGAACTGCGAGATCATGACCTAAGCGAAAGTCGGACGCCTAACCGACTAAGCCAACCAGGCGCCCCTATGTTTATTTATTTTTGAAAGAGAGAGTGGGAGAGGTGCAGAGAGAGAGGGTGACAGAGGGTCTGAAGCAGACTCCATGATGACAGCACAGAGCCCGATGTGGGGCTCGAACTCACAGACTGTGCCAACTGAGCCACCCAGGCACCCCAGAAGTTTGCATATTATCTTAAGAGCAGTTGGGAGCCCTTAATGAGTTTAAGCAAGATCTACTTGAATGAATAAAATAAGATATCCTGGAGCTTTCAGACTTGGAGCAAAGATATTAACGAGATGAAATACTATAAGAATGAGTGAAAAAAGCTTTGTTTTGGTGCTCTAAACACCCTTCTCCAATGTGTCTCCTTGCTTGTCCTCTCTCTGCTCTCAGCTGTCTCTGGAGCTGTCTTTCTTCTTGGTCCAATGATTCAGCTTTTTCCTTCCTAGCATCACCTCCTCCAGGATGCCTTCCTTAACAATTTAGTGATCTATGCTTCTCTACAACACAGCCCTGTGCATGTCATGGGCACTGTTCCAGCATGGCTGACTGTTTACATGTCAGTGTCCACCCTCCCTTCCTCCAAACCACCCCCGAAAGGGGGCGGAAGTGGGGGGCTGAAGAGAGGGGAAATTGCAGAATCTTTAGCAGCAAACTGGCCCCCTCCCTGTCCTTCCCAACCTGGCAGGGATCGGAGCTGGACTCTGCCACCTGCTGGCCATAACTGCAATGACAGCTGGATGGCTGGACCGTCTAGGCCCACTGTGATGTTTCTGAAGGGTAATCACACAAGGTGTAGCTGGATGCTAGATGGAGGACTGGTCCAAGGGGCCTGATGATTCACGGTGGCAGAGGTGGGCTGGGACCCAGAGGGAGGAACTGAGTGTTGATGGAGCAGCAGCTCAGAGATGGACACAGGGTCCAGCCCTGCGGAGTTGCTGAGCCTGAGTCTAGATCTTGGGCCCACATCAGACCAGCAGGGGGCCCAATTTGCTACCATGGGGACCCAGGGCCGTGTCCGTGCTGCTGGGGATATGACCCCCCCCCCCAGCTGGATGAGGACGCCCAGAAAGCAGAGACCAGCCTCAAAGCCAAGTGTCCACCCACACCCCCCTTTTCCGGAACAACTTGTTTTGCTCTAAAGCTTGGGACTTTGACCTCAGAGGTGTGTTTTCCTCCTGCTGGTCACCTGATGTCCTTCCTGCTCATCCCCCTCCCCCACCCTCCCAAGCAAGGCCCCTGGAGTCCTTGTCCTTCCCCGGATTCTTTGGGAAGGGGGGATGCTTGGGTGAGGGAAGCAGGACCTGAGACCTGGGGACCGATGGGAGAGGCTGGGCTACTTTTGGGGGACACTCGTCGAGGGGGGATCACAACAGAGACTTCCCTGTCCTGCTCTTACTGGCTCTTTCCTTCCTGGATTTCTGGGACGCCTCACCCTTCTGAAGTTTCTTACTCCTGTTCTAACCTGCTCTCCCTTTTTACAGACCCTTATCCCTGGGGCTGTGTGCCGGTCCCTGGCTTCTCTCCTTTCCCCTGCTCTCCTTTGTCACACACACTCACAGGCACACACCACACACACAACACACACCACATACACATATACACATAACATATATTTGCCGCACACAGACACACACACCACACAAACACATGCACACCACACACCACAAACACCACACACACACCCACACACCACACACATGCACACACACGTATACACCAGACACATACATACACCTCACACACCATACAAACACTGCACACACACACCACACACACACCTACACATATTCCACGTACCATGCACATATACACATACTACACATGCACACCTACACACCACACACACATCATACACCACATACACGTAACATATATTTGCCACACCCTGCACACAGACACACATACCACACAAACACATACACACCACACACCACAAACACCACACACACATACCCATACACACGCATACACATATACACCACACACACACACACACACACACACACACACCCTGGGGTCACCGTCTGTTCCTGTGCCTCAGTGGCTCAGTTCCTGTGCCACAAGTGGCTCAGTTCCTGTGCCACAAGTGGCTCCCAGATCTAGCTCTCTACACCAGACCCAGTGTCCTGCTGCCTTCTGGACGTTTCCTTCTGGAGGACCCACAGGCACCACAAGCACAACACATCTGAGCCTGCAGCCCATCAAACCCCCCACCTCTTCTGAAATGTGCTCTGGTCCTTCCGAGGCGCCGGGCATCACCCTCAGCAACTTCTCGGACCTCACCGGCCACCCAGCCTAGTCACTGGGTTCAGGAGCCCCGGCCTATCCACTCCATCCCTAGAGAGGGCTCAGATGCACTGCCACTGCCGTGGGGCAGCCCAGGCCCTGGGGGCGTGGCCACTGTGCAGCCGGGTCTCCTCTCTCCAGCCCTTGCACGCCCTTTCACTCTCTACTCTGGGGCCACAGAAGTTTTCTCAAGTGCAGATCTGACCACATGACTCCCCTGCTTAAAACTCTCCAAGAAGATATCCTGATGTTTATTAAATTCAACCCCATTCCTGGCATACCAATCAGTGATTCCCTGGCTGTTCATTAACACGAATGGTGACTACTCTAGCCAAACTTTGCCAGAAGATTCTGAGGAGGCCAAGTGGGAGTTACGGAGGGAGAACAGGACATACATGGATATATCACTCACGTCCAAGCCAAATTCCCTCAGATCACCTGGGCCACCCCATCTTTGGATGATGGTGGGGCCCACTGCACTTGAATGTGTACACACAGGGAGCAGGGATGAGGTGGGGCATGTGACTGCTGCCCCTGACAGAACCGTCTAGCAATAGAAAGGGGTGCCTACAAGGTCCTGTGAGCAGCAGGGAGACTGTGGAGGGGCTTCTGGGGACCCTCCCTCTGAGGCATTGCCCCAGACGCTGCGTCCTTTGCTCTTGTTGTCTGTGGAGTCAGACTCTCAGCATCTCTGGCTTCCTGTACTCCTGGGGAGGTGTGAGGCAAGAAGGCCCGGCATGACCTTTGGTCCCAGACCTGGACAGGTACTTGGGTCATTCTTAGTTCCTTAGGTGGAGGGCCAGACGGACTCCATGTGATCCTGCAGTTTGAGGGCCCAGAGCTTCAGGGCCCACCTCTCCCGCCATTGGATCTTTCCACTTGGGGATGTTCTTCTTTTGCCTCCACAGCAGGGCTGTGTTCACCCGCTTGTCTCCCTGCGACGGGTGGAGGTGGATCAGAAGGTGTGTATAGAGGCCTCTGACTGAGCCTCGACCTTGTCACAGGGAGGTCCCACCCAGCTGGTGGGAACCACATCTGGGGCCACGAGGAAATCTGACCTAGGCCAGGGCAGCTGGGTTGGATAGGGCAGTCTGGGGACTGGGACCCTCAGGCCCACTGTCATTGTCCCCATGGGGGAGGGAAGATTACAGAGCTACTGAGCTAGGTCAGGGATGGAGGGACAGAAGCCGGGGCTGAGTCCCAGGACTGGAGCCCCTTGGTCTGGCTTGGTTGAGTAGGGACAGGTGAGGGGGAGAACAGGAAATAGGCCAGGCCACTGGGGAGGGCCAGCTTTGACCTTTCCCTGGCCTCTGGGGTTTTCCCCGAGCTCCTGCTATGCAGCCTGACAACAGATTTCTTAATCCCACTGTCACCTTTCCAAGACACCCTGCCTGCCCCGCCCGCAGGAGCAATAATGTGTCATTCCTTTCCCCAGAACCCCGCCCTGCTGCCAGGAACGGGGAGCGGACACAAAACCTGGGGGATTGGAGGTGAGGCACCAACTCTCCTCCAGTCTCCCTGGTCCTCAGACCTGCTTTCTTCCCCAGCCTCTGAGAGATGACCTCAAATGCCAGCTTGAGTGGGCAGGGCACCAGCCAGGGGAGGCCAGGCCTGGAAGCTCATTACCATGGGAGGGAGGGCAGTTTCTCTCAACCTCCCCTCCTTCCTCCCTCGCCTTCTTCCTTACTAGCTCCTCTCCTCCGGGGCCAGATTGAGCCGGGGCTGATCTCAGGCAGACACGGACGGACTCCACAGCAGCTCCAGGAGCCCAGCTACCAGCAGCCAGAGAGAAGTGCCAGAAGCTTCCTGCAGCCATGTCGGCCCTCATTCTGCTCATTCTGGGCCTGTTCACGGCAGTGCCACCCGCCAGCTGTCAACAAGGTAGCACAGGACTGGGCCTGCCCTGGTGGCTGTGGCGAGGAGAGCTGGGCTGGGTGCTGGTAACCCGGGGGTGGACAGGGTGGCCCTCTGACCTCCCTCACCACCCTGGACTAAGATAGTTGGGAAGGAGGAGCAGGGATTGGGCTCAGTGGAGGACCCTCCAAAGGCAGAGATCGCTGAGCAAGGCTTCTGTCAGGGAATTGTTTTCCATGACAGGAATGCAGGGAGCAGGGGAAATGTTGGGTCTAGGACTGGAGACCTAGAGGAGTTGAACCCAAGATCTAGGAGCAGAAATTGCCCTAGAGATGGTGGGGTCCTAAGGACAGGGGGTCAGGAGCTACAAGGAAGGAGTGGGCCCAAGCAACGCCCCCAAACGGCAGGCTTGTCCCAGGGGAGAGGCGGCATCATCCGGAGTCTGCCTGTGTCTTTGGCCTGCTTCCTGGGCTTGGGGAGAGGACGGCGCCCCAGTGGGGCCCCACCACGTAGCTGAGCTTTGGCCAGCTCTGCCTGTGTCTTGCAGCCTGCTCCTCTTTGAGACTCAGTTTTCTCATCCATAAAATGAGGACAGTAAACTGGTCCTGCCTACTTCCCAGGGCTGTGGCCAGGGCTGGGTGTGGGAAAGCTTCACACCAGTAAAGCACCACACCCTGGGAGCCAGTGTCTGCCGGAAGCCATGAGGCCTATCTGCAGCCAAAGTCTGGGGACTCAGCAGGTGGGATTTGGGTCCAGAGGGCACTGGCAAAGATGTTTCCAGAGTACCCCTCCTTTGCAGGGGCCCTGAGCTCACATCTATGTCTACTTCACCTCTGCCTTGCAGCCCTCTTGGAAACAGAAAATCAGAGAGGTTGAATAACTTGTATGGATCACACAGCAGAGCAAGAAGGGATGTAGCTGGGGTGTAGGAGCTCCTGGCTCCGGGGCCCTAACAGACCAGGTTTGGCCACTCACCGCTGACAAAATTCAAAGGCAGTGAGACAAGTGGTGGGGAAACAAACAGGAAAGAAATTTCTTTCAGTGAGGCCGACACCGGGAAGACAGTGGAGCAGCATCTCAAAGACTATCCCTAAAGTGGAGAAACTACTTCCAGGTTTACTGTAAGGAAAATGTGGGAAAAGGTAGGTGGGTACCTGCAGGTGGGCAGTGAGGTCAGCTCTTTGTCTTGGGGTCAATCACAGGTGGGCAGAGGTCTTGCTAGCTCAGGGCAGTCCTGATTGCTTGAGGGTGGTTTTGGTTTCCCTTCGGGAGATGCTTTATCCTCATTTGCCTGATTTAAGAGATAAGCTGGAAAGAACTTAAAGTGAAAGTTTGAGGTCAAAAAGGAGGATAGGGGAGTCTTCCTTCAGGGACGGAGCTCAGATCACCTCTTTCCCCAGGTTCTGTCCCTTCATAGGCTCACTTCAGAGCCGTGGGGAAGGAGAAGCAGGGACTGGGGTTCCCTGTGTGTCTGGAGGGAATGGCTGTGGGGTCTTGGGGAGGCAGGAGGTGGGGAGCTCCCAGGGCTCGAGGCCCAGTCACTGACCTGAGGAAATAATGGGTCTGAACCATTGTTTCTTGGGCGAACGAGAGGGCACAGCGTGGCTTTTGGCGAGTATGGAAGTCGAGACATCCACGCTGAGCTGGCCACAGGCCAGAGAGTTCCCAGATCCCTCCCGTCTTCCCAATACCTGCCAGGCCCCGAGAGCTCAGGGAGGAGGCAGGGCCTTCACTGCACCAGGAGACCTTGAGGGGAGACTCAAGGAAGGACTTCTGAATGAGAGTGAGGCAGAGTGAGGTTTTGATGCCCGGCCTGGACCCCTCAAAGTACAGGATGGCACTAGGGACTCGTGTGGTTTAGCCTGGAGGCACGACCCTCAGGAGCCTCCTGTTGACCTCTGTCCCCTCCTGAGACCTGCCTGTTACTGCCTGTCTGTCCTCTGCAGGGTCACACTCCCTCAGGCTCCTGGAACACCATGATGCCTGGGGGAGGGGAGAGCTTTGGGGCTGCCTGTGGCTCAGGGCAGAGATTCTGGGAAACCATGAGGGTTAAAGGTGGTGTCGAAGGTCAAAGGTCAAAAGGTAGAGAAGGTGACGGATGGGGGCTCAACCTGGCCTCTGGCCTAGTCCGTAGGCATGCAGCTGCAGGAGACAAGAGGAGCCCAGATTTTGAAGCTCTCTTCCTGGGCCCCACAGTCTGGAGGAGAGCTGGCCCTTCTGCCTTGCCTTTCCAAAGATGTTCTGTCCCCCCACCTTCCTGCCCCCCTCCCCCGGCTGAGCAGCCCTGCCTGTCCCACACTCCCACGCCCTACCCAGGACCAGAGCAACGTCAGTACCGAACAGGATCTTCCAGATGTCAGCCCGGTCCTCTCCGCTCTCACTGCTCCAGGCTTCTAGCAGCTGAGGAGCCACCCTTGGCTGGCAGGGCCCAGGCCGGCTGTCCAGGGGGCTGCTCTTTGGTCCTTGGGGCCCAGGCACTTGTAGGGGGTCCTGAATGTGACTCACACGGACGGATAGGTGGGGGCCTCTGGGCTGTCCCTCCCTTGGCTCTTCATTCCTTCTTTGAATTCCTGTTTTCCAACTATCGTCCCTCTCTTTTTTTGTTTTAAAGTTTATTTATTGTGTGAGAGAGAGAGAGAGAGAGGGAGAGGGAGAGAGAGAGGGAGAGAGAGCACAAGTTGGGGAGGGGCAGAGAGAGAGAATCCCAAGCAGGCTTCGCACTGTCAGCGCAGAGCCTGCTGCAGGGCTCGAACTGTGAGATCATGACCTGAGCTGAAGTAAGAAGCTTAACTGGCTGAGCCCCCCAGGCACCCCTCCCCCACCCCACCATCCCTTCTTAAGCTCAGTGGAATCAGGTGGGTCCTCCTTGCTGCCCTGCTGCCCCAGAATGTCTCCTCTGGTCCTGGCAGCAGGCTGACAGCCTTGGGGCCCCTCCCCGCACCCCGTTCTGCACTCGAAGCCCCCACTGCTGCCGAGCCTGCTGCAGCATCCCTGCGCCCCTCTTTCCAGGCCTGGGAAGCCTGCAGCCCTGGATGCAGGGCCTAATCGCTGTGGCCGTGTTCCTGGTCCTGGTGGCAATCGCCTTTGCTGTCAACCGCTTCTGGTGCCAGGAAGAGCCGTGAGTGCTGCTGGTGGGGGGGCCAGGGTCTGGGCCGGGGCAGGCAGGGAGTGCCCCAGGACCACTACTGCTCCAGTAACGCGAGGAGGGCCTCGGAGACCCTGAGTCCGGTCCTGCCACTGTGCGGAAGTGACACTGAGGCCCAAGTTCTCCGGGACTGGAGGTCGGGCTCGCTGGCCCTCAGACCGGGCTCTGCTGGCCTCCAGAGCTGGTGCTCACTCCCTGCGAGCTTTGGGGACCATGTCTTCTCTTCTCAAGGTCTCAGTGTTTCTGTCTGTAGAGTCAGGACGCTGGCCCAGCCTGATGGGGGCTGTGGAAACCTCTGGGAAGAAAGGCTCCATCTTTCTTCAGGGTCAGGTGCTGTGCCACATGCAGGGTTACTGAGGGTCAGTGGGACCGACAGACACAACCCCCGAGCCCTCCGGCTTCCAGACCAGAAGACAAGGAGGGATCCCAGTGCAAGCACCAATGGTAAAAGGGTAATTGGACTGCAGTGCCGGGCCTGCCCTGGCCTGGGGGGCCGGGGATGGCAGTCCAAGAAGGCTTCCAATTGCACGTGTGTTCTGAGGCTGAAGGACGCAGAGGAGCACTCCTCAGGGTGGAGTGGGAACACAGAAGGGCTCAGAGGAGCACTCCTCAGGGTGGAGTGGGAGCACGGAAGGACGCAGAGGAGCACTCCTCGGGATAGGGCGGGAGCACGGAAAGAGCCCTGCAGCTGGCAGAGGAGGGCATCGAGGCCACTGGGGTCCACAGTGTAGGGCACTGAGGCTGAGGGGGGCAGGCTGAAATCCAGTCCACTCTGTGCTGGCCAATCCTGGGGTAAGGCTGCACCTGCTCCTAGCTCCCATGGAGGGGCCTGGTGCCGGGGTGCTAGCCAAGGCCCTGCGCAGCCTCTGCAGGAACACAGCAGTCATGAGTGGAGAGAGCGATAGGAGGCGTGGGATAGACTGGCGAGGTAGGCAGGGCCCAGGCCCGGCAGAGCCTGTACACCTATATCCCGAACTTTGGGCTTCATCCTTCGTGCACTGGGAATCCGGTGAGAGCTCGGACGCTGGTCTTGGGATGAGAGCTGACCTGAGCACAGCCACTCTGGCTGCCCCGCGGCACATGTGTGGGGTAGGGACCAGCCTGCAGGTGAGAAGGGCAGTGCGGGGGCGCTGAGCATGAGGTCAGGAGAGAGTCTGGACTCTGGAGGGAGCAGAGGGGATGGAGGGGCACCATGCGTGAGGGCTGTTTGGGGGGCTGGTCCCCAGAAGTTGGTGGATGGGGACGGCAGGGGGCAGGAGAAAGGAAGACAAAGGTGAGTCCAGGCTTCTGATAGTACCAGTCACGGGCACAGAGCACAGGAGGCAGATCTGGGGGCAACTGCTGAGTTTAACTTGAGACATACTAAGTCTGAGGTGCCTGTGGGGTGTCCAAAGGACATGCAGCAGTAAGAGTCCCGTGACCCTTGGAAGAGTAGTTTCCAGGTAGGTGGGGGCAGAGGCCACAGTCACTGGGTTTATTTAAACTTGAGTACGAGGCCAAGAGCTTTTTGTCAGAAATGCTTCTTTTTTCAACTGATCCAAGCTCTGCCTTCAGTGGACATTGACCGTGTCTGTACCTAGTTCCCTGGGGAAAGGCCTGTGGCAATCTGGGCAGACACTAAATCCTGTTGGGTCTTAAGCTGAGGCCAGAAGGCAAATTGCAGAAAGTGGGAGGCCTCGGATAAATCTTTTGCGAATCTCAGGCTGGGACCTGAGGCCCCTTCCTTGGGGCAGGAAGAAGGGTGTGGAGGCCCATGGAGTGGGGCCAGAATCAGGATACTGACACGGGCCCTGCTGGAGAGAAGGGCTTCTGCCCAGGGCCAGCCTCTGCCCTTGGACTTGTGAGAACCAGAGCCTAGAACAGGGCCTGACTGGACAAGGGGGAGGAGGGAGAACAAAGAAGGTAGGGGCCTAGGGAGCCCTACTGACGAGCATCGTCCACAGGGAGCCCATGAACATGGTGACCGTTGGAAACAAGGCAGATGGAATCCTGGTAGGAACAGACGGAAGGTACTCCTCGATGGCAGCCAGCTTCAGGTGAGGTGCTGGCACAGGGTAACCACCCTACACTCCAGAAGGACCAGGTGCTTCTGAAGGGTGGGAGATAGAAGGTGGGAGGGCAGAGAAGGAGAAGGACTCATGTGGGGAAGGGCTCAGTGAAGAGAAGAGCTCACGGTGGTGGCAGTGGGGCTTTGTGAGGGTGCAGGGCTCCCTGGGGACCTGAGGCTCAGCTGGGGAGAGGGCCCAGTAAGGGGGTAGGGATGTGGGGGGGGGAGGGGCTCACCAGAGGACTGGGATTCACAGGGAGGAGTGCAGTGGGGGAAGGGGCCTCTGAAGGGGTGAGTTGGGACTCAGTGTGGAGAGAGGGGTGAGTAAGGGAGGCAGCTCAGTGGGAAGGTGGGCTCCATGAGGAGGTTGCTCAATGGGGCCCAGTGGGGGAGGAGCTCAGTGGAGGAGAGAGATGGGGCTCAGGGAAGGGTGTTGAGAGGCCCCCAGTCTCAGGTGCGCCCGGGACCAGATGTGGGCACTCAAGTATTATTTATCCTGCAAGATACTGCCCTCACCAGTACAGAGAGAAGGGGGTGGGGTGGAAGGGGTGATGACCCCTGTCATCCTCTTTCAGGTCCAACGAGCACGAGAATGCCTATGAGAATGTCCCCGAAGAGGAGGGCAGGGTCCGGAGCACCCCCATGTGACCCGCGCTTGCCTGTGGGCCCCAGCCCTGAGCCCAGGTGTCTGCGATGGATGTTCAACTCACCACCCAAGCTGCTCCTTCTCTGTGTGGGAATCTGCAGTAAGGGGCCGACTCTTCCAACCCCACACTGCCACTGCGCACCTTCGCTGGAATGGTCACCAGCCAAAGTCGGAGCTCAGGCTGTGCCCAGTGTTGGAGCTCAGCTATGACCCTATGGGGAAGCTATGACTTCCTGGGAGGTCTCCCACCCATTTCAATTCAGAAGACCCTTCTGAAGAGGACAGTCAGCTCATCACCTTCCCTGCCTCATATTGTCTCCCTCTCACCGTGCAAATGGCTCTTATTTCTGTGAAATAAAGATGTTTCGTACTTCCAGGCCTGATGCTCCCAGGTTCAGAAATAGCCCCTCAGGCTTACAGCCAGGCACAGTCTTCCTTTCCGAATCCTGACAATTACCTTCCAGGACCACTGTCACAGTGGCTTTGGAGGATTACCCAGGAAGCCCTCTCTGAGAGGCCCCTGCGGCCAGGAAGCTCAGCCACTCTACACCTGGTGGAGACCCTCCTGCCCACACCCCTCCCCTGGCCTGCCCTTAACGCTGGGATTCTGGGCCCTTCTCGGTGCAGCAGCAGGAGTCCTTCCCTACCCCCACGTGGCCTGGCATTGCCCATGGTTCACTCATCCCTCCTCCAGCCAGCTCTAGCAAGCTCCAAGAGTCTTGGGCTCAGACTCAGGAAGCCCGGCTTTGAGTCCCTGTCCCCTTATTATGTCCCTGCCGACTTATTATGTGACTTTGGTAGAGCCATAGTCCTCTCTGAGCTCAGGTTCCCCCCTGGGGATGGTTTGGCCAGCCTCGTCTCAAAGCTGGAGTAGAATCATCCTCACCAGTGTCACTGATTTCCAGTCCTCGGTGGGGGTGGAGTCAGGGACCTGGATTCCCTGGAGAGTGAAGCAGGAGGGAGGGGGGAGGAGACATACTCAACCAGGGGCCGTCTGACCCTGGAGACCCCTCATCCCCCTGACGGTCATTCTTATGGGAAGAGGCAGAATCTGGGGTGGCAACCTGAGACAGACCCACCCAGGAGCACCCCAGATCCAGAGGAGTGGGGCTAGAGGGTAGGCGGCAGTCCACCTTGTCCCGATGATCTCCCTCTGCCAGCTGCCCCAACCTGTCCCAGCCCCCTCACTTCACCATTACAGCCATTGCCTTGCTGATCAAAGGCTTCAGCCAGAATCTCGGGGGGGAGACCCATCTGAAAGCCCAAGTATCCTTTCTCACCGCACGGAGGTCTAGTTTGCAGCCTGCAGCAGTGGGAAGAGCCCTGAACAGGGGGACGGCAGGGTCTGTGCCCCACCCAGGCCTACCCTTGCCTGCTGTGTGACTCAGGACACGTTGCCTTCCTTCTCTGAGCTTCAGGTCTGTGAATTGTGGCTGTGCCCCTGTGGACCGATGACTTCCTACCCACCTCATCAGTTTAAACTCTGTATATTCCTTCTTCTTGGCCCTGCCAAGGTTCTTCTTTCTCTCGGAAGCCCTCCTTGACTAGATCAGAGGGCAGAACCAGGGTGGCAGCCGGACCAGCCTCTTAGTTACTGAAGGAGAGATGGAGGTTACTAGAGGGCCTCTGCTAAGGCACAAACACCCCCTTCTTCCCTTACCTCCTGATCTGATTTTGGCTGCCTGGATCTGATTCTCCTTGCAGGAAGCTCCATTCCATTCCCTCCCACTGCTGCCCCCCCTCCAAACCGTTGTCTCTGAGGGGTGGAGGTGGGTTCAGGTCTGGCCCCGGGAGCACCCTGCCAACGCTCAGGAAAGGAAGCCCCGCCCCTCCCACCTGTGAGGCTTCCCAGCAGGGGCCTCCTGTCTGGCTCCTGGGGCCGGCCACCCTTTCCCTGCCTTGGCCTCTCTGGGAGCCTCCACAGCCCCCTCTTCATGCTGAAAGGCCCAGGATGCTGGGGACCCTGGGGTCCCTGCAGGTGCCGCGCTGGCACTGACCTTCCCCCCACCCCATGTTCCTGCCCTGGCAGGGGGTAGGGGGCATGGGGCTGCTGGCCCCAGAGCCCCCAGTCCTTATCGCCCGTTCCCACCTGCCAGCCTGGCCAGATGAGGGAGGGAAAGGAGGCTGGGTCCGGGCCAGGGCGGTGCTTAATGACCCTCCGGGGCCTAATCTCAAGCTGGCAGCCGCTGAGTGGCTCAGGCTCGCTCCTGGAGGAGGCTGATAACACACCAGCTGGGCCCCCCACCATCTATCGGGGCTGCACAGCCAGTCCCAGGGGGCGGCGATCAGGGGGCCTGGGGAAGGGAGCCTCTGGGTTGGGGAAGGGTGGGAGGCGAGCTCCCCCGGCCAGCCCTGGGGGGAGGGGATTCTGAACGCCTTGAGTGACAGATAAGGGGAGGGACTGGAGCGGTGGGCTGGCCTGGCAGGAACCCCCGGAGGCCCCTGTGTCTTCACGATTTCCTGCTCCCTCCCACCTTTCTCCCACCCAGTCCTGGTCTCCTTTTTTTTTTTTTTTTGCTCTCCCGTCTTTATCCATCTCTGTTGCTCTTTATGAGTGGACCTCTTGTCCTCTGCTTTTATCTGCATCTTCCTGTCTCTTCCATCTCCTCCCTCCACCTGAGCTAGTGCTCACCGGTTCCTCTCACCCCTTGCATCCTTTCTCTGTTTCCAGCAGGTTCCCTGTGTTGCCCCTTCCCCCACAGGCCCCACCTGCCAGGCTGCCTTGGTGCCTGTCCCTTGGCTGGGGCAAGTCCCTTGCCTTCCCTCACTGGAGTCTTGCTTCTTTGTGCGGTGTCATCTACCACTGATCTGTCCAGCTGTGCTCTGGGCAGAATGCCCAGGTTGCCCTGGCCCTGGCTCCAGGACCAGGAGAGTCTCCTGGTCCTATAGGGCCTTCTTGCTCCTCTTGTTTCTGGAACAGGGCTTGCCCCTTTGTTTTTCCTTCTCTACCTAAAATGTGGGTATTCCACAGGGTTACGTTATAGGTTCCATGAAACTCAGGCACTAAAGGTTCCACCCAGGAAGTGCAGAGCTGAAGGTAGATTGCAGCACTGCTTACTCCAGTTAGACTAGAAGAGGAACTTCCAGTCTGGAGTTGGTTTAAAAAAAAAAAAAAAGCCTATGGAAATCTATCTTGAGTGTCACCTGTTAAAGGGCGGAGTGCCAGGTAGTTGGAATGATTGTCAAGATTGCTTCCCTTATGCTCAGTGTAACATGGGCAGAAATACAGGAGCCATCAAGATCAAGACTACTGCTCAGCAGGGATTCCTCCCCCAGCCTAGGGTACAGGTGGGTTTGGGGTGCAGAGTGGCACTCCAGGAGTGACCCTAGTCACACACACACACACACACACACATTCTGCCTTATCCCCTTGAACCAAGTTCATAGGTGAGTCACATAGTTGGAGCTGTCAAAACTTGCTCTGGGACCAATGTGGGAGGGCATCTGCCTCCCCTCCAGGGCTGTCCTGGAGTCTGGACCCCCGAGCTTGGCTCCTATCTCCCATTTTCAGTCCCCAGAAGTACACACAGTGGCCAAGAGCTTGAGCATGAGAATCATGCAGACTCTGGTCCAAATTCCATCTCTGTTCCTCACGGCTCACGGACCACCTAGCCTATTGGCTGCCCCACTGGCTTGTCAGTAGGATTGCTTCTGCTGTGTTTTTCCTGCAGGGCTGCCGGGAGGCAACAGAGATAATATATGCTATTATTGCAGCTGACACTCGCCAAAAAGCCCTCTAGGCGCAGTGGAAAATCCTTCCACCCTGGGGCTGGGCATTCCTCTGGGCTATTCCAGCCATCTCTGCACACACCACCCTGTGACCTGTTTAACTGCCAGGCCTGGTTGCTCCTAGAGTGCAGAAACAGGGTCACTTCTGCATCACCGGCACCTAGGACAGAGCTGGACTTAGGGGAAGGGAAGCCTTGGGTGTGGTGAGGAAACCCAAAGGAAGGGGCTAAACCCAGTTGTTCGTCAGGGTGTATGTCTGTCCATATACTTCAGCCTCTATAGGTGCAGACACACGCACACGCATGCACTCACGCTTTTTTTTTAAAATACATTTTTATTTATTTTTATTTATTTATTTTTACAAATAGTTTTTTTTATTGTCAAATTAGTTTCCTCATAACACCCAGTCACACTTTCTGATCGAAGGTTGTGGGGTCAGTGGTGAGCTCCCCTGAGCATCCAAGCTCCACCCAGCCAAGTGTGTCTGCCTGTAGCCTCGGCTGCCATCTGGTGGCTGCACACTCAACAGGAAGGGCCAATTCAGCAGAGCTTTTGAACTTGAGTGTCAGGCAGGGCTCTTCCTCCTTACTGCTGTACCGGAGGCTTTCCCAGGGCGTGGCTCCAGGGACCCCACACCCCCACAGGTTGTGCCAGCACCTTCCTCATCTTCCAGTAGGCTTCTAGGGCACTGGCCTCCAATGTCCCCTCCTTGTGGCCCCAAAGTCCAAGTCTGTGAATCCCTTAGGATGTAAGCACTACTTGGGGGGGCCAGGCTCTTGGGGGCTTCATCATCCTGCTTCTGATGAGACACATCCCTTTCTCTCAGAAATGGTCTAGGAGCCCAGTGGCTTCTTCCCTGGGGTGCTACTCCAGAGGATAAGGGATGACAAAGTTTCTGGGATATGTTCCTTGGAGACCTCCTGGAAAAGCAGAAAAGAGAGAGCTTGATGGGGGGGTGAGGAGAGAGAGGAGAAAGAGTAAGAGACAGAAGTCAAGGACAAGTTCCATTAGTACCCTGAACAAAGGTGGAGGATGGTGGAGCCTGGGACATTGCACTGGGTTATACAGGCTGTGTTTCCACCAACCAAGCCCTGCAGGCTGGTTTGGACCCATGTCTGCCTGCAGGGAGGGGTGCTTTTTTTCTGATTCTCACAAAGGCACCATACGGGGTTGGGAATGGCACTGAGAATGGCAGGTGCCAGGGGATAGGCAGGAGTGTGTGGGGAGTAAGGATGTATTTATGGGCACGTGGAATCTGGGGATGGACTGGAGGGCAACATGGGTACACAGTTCAGGTCTGAAGCTCAGGTGACAGTAGTTGAGCCAGAGAGTTGGATGCCCTCTGGGAGGGTAAGAGCCCAGGTCTGGAGCAGGCACCCTAGAGACAGCACTGCTCAGACACTTAATACCAAGGGACCTTGGATGAGTGAACTCAACTCACCAAGCTCCAGTTTACTCATCTGTAAATTGGGGGCAATAAATGGCATCTATCTAATAAAAGAGATTGTAAAGATTAAAAGAAACAATGCACACGAGACACATAGAAGAGCGCCTAGCCCACATTTAGTGTGCAATAAATGTTAGCTTTTGTTTTTATTTCTACTATTATTTCAGGATGAGGAATTATATGCAAGACCACAGTGTGTCAG